CCCCAAAACCCCAAAACCCCAAAACCCCAAAACCCCTGCAATAAATATTGAGAACTAATATCAATCATACAATAAATACTAGCAATTATAAATTTCCAATTGTAACATTTCTCATTTTCTAGCATTTATCGATACAGCATTAACAATCCAATTGACAGAAGCCTCGAGTCCATTCATATCAATAGCGCTTACAGGCATTATGACACTATCTTAGCATTTGATATCGCCTAGCTAAAGCCTTTCACTTACAAAATCAACTCCTCTAAATTCACTCTTATCATTTTTATTGAGCATGAAAAGCACAGGCAATTGCTACACATCACTGTCCTCCTCAAATACTTCATTAAGTGTCTCCTTCACCTCCTAAAACCTTATCTCATCAGAACCATCAATCACAAATACTAGCCCATGACACTCTGAAAAGTACTTATTCCAAATTTTCCTGAGCACTGCTTACCCACCAACATCCCAAAAAGTATACTCTCCTTAGGGTTTTTCTAACTTTGCAATATTTAATCCTATCGTAGGAGGTATTTTTTGTAAGTTCATTGACTTTTAATTGTGCATTGCTTTTATCTATTCCAGTACAGTCTATATCCAATAAGGTATTTAAATATGCTAAGATAATATTAGTTGACTTACTGTCTTTCCTGCATTATCAACTCCAATAATCAATATTTTATACGAAGGCTTCTGAAACATATACTCATAAAAGCCATATAATAGGGAGAACATTTTGAATTTTAAATAATTATGATAATAAAAGTATAATTTTAATAATCACTCAATCTATCAATTCCAGTCAAAAGCCTTTAATTTCACCCTTTAATTGTAATGCAGTTCGGGCCCTTTTGAATATCAGTTTTAAACACATTGAAGTTCATCATCTTCAACTCTCCATTCTTGGCACCTGTTACTATGAATTAGCCGTCAGTTCTAATTTGTGTTATCACTGCCTTGTGTCCTGGGTATATCACGTAATTACTGTCTTAATCTTATGATGACTAGAACAAATTAACCGGCCTCACATCATATTACAGATTATATGTAGTTCCTGATTGCAACTAAAGGAATATTTAATATTATCAAGACTTACAGCTAAACCTGAGAAATTTTCTTTGCCGAGATCGTAATCAGTCATAGGGTAGTAGTGATAGTTATAGTAGTCCAGTTATTTTCCTCTTCTCAAATCAAAAGTGATTAGTCCTCTTGCACCATGGAAATGACTGACCAATAAATGCTTTTTAGCAATATAGGTCATTTTGAAGGCTTTAGTTATCACTCCCTCTGAAGTTTGATGCTTATCATTTATCTTATAGGCTTTTGATGGAAGCATTGTAGAATCTGGATCCTCTATTGTTTAAGAAGCTCCTTAAGTCAAACTCTGTCTTAGATCCCAAACCCTGATTCTTTTGCTCTCACTGGTGATTAAAATTTATGGTTATTCTTAAGTCATAATTAAATCTCCAAGTTCGAATCCTACTTGATATTGTGAACGAGTTGAAATCTGGAACCCTAGAAGTTGTTTGAAGTTCTATACTCTCAGCAGCTACTAGCCTTTTTCAAAATCTCTTACAATTAGTAAGCCGTCTGAGTCACTATAGGAAGATAAGTATTGATTATTCATGGCTAGCTTAGCAACTCCTCCGTTATGGCCATCGAAACTTGATACACAAGTTCCTGAGTAAACATCCCAAATCTTAACAGTTTAATCTAGGGAAGAGCTGACTGCTCTATTGTAGCTATTATTTAATCTCTTAAGCTAAGTTACACTGGCACCATGTCCCTTCAGATGAACATTTTCATCAGGCGATGATATATCCCAAAATCTAATAGACCTGTCCGCTGAAGCAGTTAGAGCACTTCTCTCATCCCAAATCAAAGCTTAAGTTACTAGATTCATATGCTTATCAAAGGAATAGCACTTCTTTGTTTTGACATCCCAAATCTTCACAAGGTTATCTTTACCACCACTACATATCAATCCATGGTTTGCATCCAAAGCAGTGATCATCTTTGAATGTCCCACAAGATTATAACTTTGAAATCTCTTTCTCTGAACTAAATTCTATACCGAATTCAATTCCATCATCAAAAGCTATTTCTTTGATTTAGGCTTGCTAAACTTTTCTTGCTCTTAGAGTAACTTTAACATTCTATTCTTATCAGGAAAAAGATTTTCCCAGATTCCCTCTTACTAAGAAGATTGGTAAAAAGACCTTGAGATAAGGCAGATTTTAAAAATCTCTTTGGCTGACAAAAAGTCAAAGATAATGATGTGGATATACTTGGACACAATGCTAAAGTTAGATCTAGGTTTTGCTGAGTTCCTTAGAGTGATTTCTTTCTTTGTGGCTTTTCTTTTAATGGCAGTGTCTGGTCTTTCATTATTATTATCACCTCCAGAGAGGTCTTTCATTTGCACATCTATATCCATTGCTTTAATTTCAAATTTATATAGATTTGGTAAGCTAATCCAATTATACAAGTAGTTGAATGGGGTTTTGGGGTTTTGGGGTTTTGGGGTTTTGCGG